CTCTGATGGAAAGAAGACTAAAAAGAAAACACCTCACTGACCTCATTAAAGAAATAAAATAGTCAAACTCGAGAATGGTATCCCACCGGGGGTAGCCATTCACGTGTCATTTAGCGATTAAATTAGAAAAATTTACCAAATGTCCAGCTGGACAAATTGTAAAGTACAAATTAAATAATAAAAAAAAAACGTGAATGAGGTATGTTTTTCATAAGATACACGTTTGTCGTAACGCGTTAAGCGTAACCCTATTTTTACTGACGTCGTTTGCATACTGGATCGTTCCAGTCCACGCAGTTTTATTCTCAGGTTTTTCTATTTCAAAACATCTCCCGAAATTCTTGGATACTCTTTCAAGTTTCTAGAATAACACCCAATATGGGGAACATGAAAAATTACTTAAAATTATCGACTCAGCATGCAGATGGTGTGTTAATAAACGATCAAAAAACATTTTTCTATTCGTAACAGTAAAATAATAGCACTCGAGGGAATAATATTTTACGATTTAGCAATTTAGCAATTCGGTTTTTAAGCATTTTCTCCAAGGTATTATTTACTTTCGCTTGGCAAGCAAAAGGAGAATCGACGTTTTTGGAATCTCGCGGTCGCACGGAACTTCGGATATCCATCGACTTCGTCCTAAAGTTTCGAGAGTTGTGATTTAAAGTGTAAAACTTTGCAGTATCTTGTTCCCGGTTAATCTCCCTCGTTTCGTCTTCCTTATTTTTTCAAACGATCGGTTCTTTCGTACCAATTATAAAGATTACTATTAGTTTAATACCATTAATTTATGGACGATTTTATGCAAGTTAAATTACAAATATTCTTCGATACTTGGCATCTTTTTATAAATGCAGGAAACAATAAATAACAATATGTAACAACGTTGGAAAATATTCGACGTCGATACGACGAAGAACTAAACGAATGGAACTGAAATCGTGTACGTGTAAAAATGTATCGACGCAACGACGCGTTTTCATCCTTTCATTTACGTCGACCGTCTGCTAAAAGCGAGGCGAGAAAAATGAAAATTTAACTGACAAGACCGTGTTAGCCGTATTAAAGTACCGAATTGATTAATCGAGTCTCATCCTGATGGCGTCCAGATACGATTATTTTGAAATTATTTCCGAATATTGCGTTAATATTTAATGTATCCATTAAACTAACGAGGCAATCGTCGATCGCCGGTAATGGCAAAGAAATTCGATCAGAAATCCTCGTTTCTTTGATCGTAGCATGGTCGTGTCATCGAAATCGAGAGAATCATTAAATTAAGCCATAAGCGTTTAAGAAGAGAGCTTTGGTCGACGGAAAGTTCGGGCTTAATAATTACAGTTCGGAGAAGACTTGTTTCTTAGAACGAAAATGCTCGTTCTATAAAAAAGTTTTCTACTTTTTTTTTTTATTACTCGGTATTCGATCATTTTTCGATGTATAAAATCGACGACACGGATCGAAATCGATCCGATCAACTATATAGTAGAGAAAAACGAACGGATACTGATCTAAATTAGTAGGAAAGATTATCTCGCCGAGTTAATATTCAAGATCGCGTTTTAGCCGTCACGGCTTCGCGTCGCGCCGCGTCGGCTAAGCGTACACAAAAAAAAAAAAAAAAAAA